TTCAGCTTGCTGAGGTGTTGTACAGTGCAGACAAAAGTATAAATAGAAAACAGAACAAAGAAAATGGAAGTCTCAGTTATGATCTTGATAAAGTTCAGGTTAAGGTCTGGTTTTCAGTGTTCTTCTTTCAAAAACATTGGTTTCTAAAGATACAAAATAATATAGGAAACAAAACCATTTGATTTAGCGTTTGAATGGATGTAAATTGGCAGTGAGATTTAAAAAATTGCACAAGGGGCGCCACCTGAAATCTTGGRTGACAAATTGGCCCTGCCTAACATGCATGTGCTWTTTATTTATTTATTTATTTTTTCGGKGGAGGGGTCTGTGGGAGGAAACCAGAGAACACTAAAGAAGATGCAAACATCACATAGACTGGCTGGGAGGCAAACCTGCGACCTTCTTACTGTGAGGCAACATCTTTAACCATGCTGCTGTTTCTTTGTGCAGGAAAGTAATTTATTTGTTAAAATAAGGAAACTAGAAACATAAGCATGCATACTCACCAATATTTATTTGTTCTTCCCCATCAGCTTGTTTTGATGCCTGTTATTAACTCAAACAAACAAAACAAAACAGAAATAACTATTTATTTAATCAAGGATCCCCATTTGTCTCCAGAGACCATTCTTCCTGTGGTCCACACCAACATTAATACTTCAAAACAATACAAAAATCATGACTTAAAATCCCAACTTAATAAGCAAAAGACACAACTGCAACATGATTCAAAAAACATTTCATTCACAAAAATACACCTGAATAATAGATTTTTTACAATTCTATTTATTTATAAGGATTAAGGAATAGATTACTTCTTATTTCATATGATAAACGACTCACAAACAATGGATCTTTTCAAAATGTTCAGTGAAGAAATGTCAACATTTTTATGTTGTTTAAAAAAACCTGAAAACCCATTTAAATTTAACAATTTTATTTTATCTGTTTTCTGCTTTATTTTGACATGTCCTCCAATTAGCAAACCTCTTCAAAAGCATTTCATTGAGTTGCTCTCTATCACTGATCGTCATCAAAAATAACAAAAACAAAATAAAAACAAAAAAACCCAACTTTTTTTTTTAAATGTGCGCAGATGTGCACAGTTTCAACACAATCTGGGGACTGGGTCTGTGCCCGCAGGATGTGTTTCTGTTTGAACTTCTGGCATTTTCAGTATTCAGATGCAGAATTTTCACACTGGCAGGTTAAATAAATGACTTTATATTTATTAAAAGAAGATCCATTGAACAAGCGTGATGAGAAAGTGAAATAAAAAGTAAGCTTGTTTAATTTCCAGAGTTAAGTCTCAGACTTTCTGCTGTCCTCTGAAGACTTTGTACTTTTTTTTTCAGTCCTCCTTTTTTTCTTATTGGTCAATGAAATCAATACAAGCACTGGATCAGACTAATAAATGAGTCTTAATGTGTGGCCACGGTGGTTAATAAGTTATACGTTCAGAAGAATCTCTGTTCCAAAGCATAATTAGCTAATTATTTTTAGTCACAGAGAAAAGAGCATAACTCGTGTGAATGATACATTTGTGGCCTTAAAGCTTCAGCTCTCCATCCTGAGCTGCCAGACAAAGTGATCAGGTTAGTTTGTTATGAAACAGGGGGGTAAATGCCAGACCAGACACCAGCTTTTCTAGACTAATAAATGACCAGCAACACCAGCCTACACACTGCTGAACTCTGACTCACTGCCTATAAGTGTGTGAAAAGAAATGAGACCRTCTTGAGCAAGCAAAAGTATTTTATTTCTAAAAACCTCAATGCTCCGTTATTTGGAGTTTTTTTGTAAATAAGCAGGTTTTTGCACCAGTTTGTCCTCAGTTTTATATATTTTTTTATAAACCAGCTTTTCTTTGTGTTTAATAGTAAACGTGACACTGTCAGCTGAACTGACAACCTGAAAAATGTTTTTTAAAAAGCCCTCAGTACTCTCTGACTCATTCATACACAAGCTAATTATATATTTCATTATATATTTACTTCACAGCCCCCCATAATAAACTGTGACATTTTGGAGCTGTGTATTATTTCACAGAGTGTTTTAATTACCCAGCTTTTAAAACTACAGCTCAATTTTAAGTGTCAGCTGTAACGTGTTTCATTCTCTGATTTGATTTTAACTTGTTGGCTGTGTCAGTTTGAGATTGTTACGAATTTGTGCTCAAGCCTTTTACTTTATTCAGAACATTTCAYAAAAAAAGTTAGTGGGTGGGCAGAGATTGGACCCTTTGTGTGAGTGTTTTGAGTGTGTGTATTGTCCGTTGGTGCTCTGCTTTTTGTCTCCAACAGTGAAAACGTGTAAATACTGTAGCACCATAAACACTGAGCTGAGTTTGGAATATAGGGAGGCAGAATATAMAAAAATAGCTTAGACTAGAGAGTTTATTGGTGTCTTAGGTAAATCTGTTCAGTCCAGCTTCAGAAAYGTCAGGGTTATTTTAGAGAGTCACAATAAAAGACAGTGAATATTTATGCAATTAATTCATTTATATGATCTTTTTTATGGACATTTTTCTAGGTGTGTCACCAAACATTGACACGTTAGGATGCATTTGCAAAAAAAAAAAAAAAAGACGCCTAAAACTCAGAGATCTCCTGTCAAAATCCTGCAGTGCATTTTGTCATCACCTGTCACAATGTGAACCACACATTAAAACAAGACTTGGGTGTGATTGAATATTTTGTCCCACAACARTTTCCTTACTGAGATGAACAGTGTTTTCACTGCAGTACTTTAATCTCCTGTGGTATAAACGCACAATTCACTGGAGCTTTTGCTTTCTTGTTAAAGATGTTGGAACAATGATTTTCTCCTCCTCAGTGGTGGCCCGAGTAAAATATTAATGGGTTTCACCCAACAGGAAGTCCATGGAGCAGCAGGAGTGAGAGGAAGGAAGGAGAAGCAGATAAACACCACTCTGGACACTCCCCACTCATCACACACGCTCCTCTTTAGCAGCTGGAGGAGTTTGTTTACTCAGAGCCGACGCTGAGACGAAGTGCAGATGGAGACTGAGAGGAGAGTGTCTGTGTTGTTTGGAGTGTCAGGGCCGGCGATGAATGCAACATAAATATCCTTAAAGTTCTTTGTTATAAACTTTTAACAAACAAAATTTGCAAAGAGTAATTACAGAACAAAACTATATGGATTTGATTAGTTTGCTGATTAAAAATTCCCTGAGTTTTGTTAGTTTGCTGATTAAAATTTCCCTGAGTTTTGTTAGTTTGAGCCAGCACACAATTTACTATATACTTTATTCCTAAAGCGCTTTCAGACAAAGTGCTGAAACAGTAGCAAAAGATAAAAGCCCAACAGATCAAATGCAATGAATAAAATAAAACATTAAAACACATAAGATACAGTGAACAAGTGAGTCTTTAACTTTGCTTTAAACACCTCCACAGAACAGGCCTGCCTGATGTCCTGAGGGAGACTGTTCCACAGAGAAGGGGCACAAAAGGAGAAGGCACGTTCGCCAATAGATTTTCTTCTGGCTTTTGGAATTAATAAAAGGCAGCAAACCTTCAGATCTGAGAGAACAAGATGGAACAAAGSRGTGCAGGAGGTCAGTGAGATATGGGGGCACCAGGTCACTTAAAGCCTTGTAGGTGAGCAGCAAGACCTTAAAATCAGCTCGAACCTGGCAAGACAACCAGTGAAGAGATGACAACACAGAGGTAATGTGGTCATTAATTCATTTGATTTATTATGTAAATGGGACATATACAATAACATTAACATAAATAGATAACACAATAAAGCATAAAGCTTATTTCCATTCTGGTCCAGCACATAATCATCTCACAAAATCACTTACACACAAATAACATCAGTTACAAAAAAACAACAACAAAAAAACAACAACAAAAAAACAACAACTAATAATAAATATAATCATCTAATTCTCGCCTGACTAACCTTTGGAATAAGAACTGTTTAACTCGACAGTTGACACTTAAATAGGGGCTTGCATGCAGTAACCTGAATATACTCCGGTAACTCGTTCCACAACAATACCCCAGTATGATGAAAAGAGGTCTTGCCATAAGATTTAACAGCTGGGACTTGAAATGACTTTTTACTAAACGTTGTTTCAATTGAGTGGCGATTTCTTACTGGTTCAAACTGTTGAGATAAGTAGTTTGGAGTCATGTTTCCTAGTGTTAGTTAAAATGCGAGCAGACACATTTTGGACCATCTGCAGACCTCTAAAACTTTTCCTAGGTAACCCAGAAAGGAGAGAGTACAACTTTTACCCGAAGGACAGCCTACAAATGTGTTAACAAGTTATTTGAGTTAATTAATTTCTTTCCTTGTTATTTTTAAGAAGACATTTATTGTGAAATCAAAAGGTTTCATTTTTGTTTGTTTTTAACATTTGATGCTGCAGAGCAAGTTTTTCTGTGCGTCTCCATGAGGGACGGTTTAGAAAAGGCAACATCAAGTTTGGGTCCAGTTCGATGGTTTTGTATGGAAGTGAAGATGTATTTGTTTTTTGTCAAAGTTTATTTTAAGATGATTATGTGCAGCCAGCGTTGTGTGTAACAAAGTTGAGTGGTTTTGTTTATGGATTTTACTTAATACAGTATGTTGCCGTCAGCAGTTAATTGGCGGCTGTGGTGGTTGGGCAGCTGACTTGGGACTATAAAGTCACTAGTTTGAATACAAGACAAATTTTGTCTTTATATGGGAATACACAATGACAATATATTGCACTTAATGTTATTATATGTATGTGACACAACTCATTGGTGGTGACTGAGGGAGATGTTTTGTGTAGAAAGTTAAGATCTGTGAAGAACTGAATAAAGCCAACCGTGACACAAAAGCTATGGTCGATCTTAATCCACTGAGGGACCAAAAGTGTTGTAGCCATGATGTAAATACAAAACTAGATGCTTAGATATATAAATATAAACTTAAAATACAGTATATAAGTAAATATATATTTAAGGAATGCAAAACAAACAAAAAAGCAAAATCACTTTGATGATAATTATATATTTAATCGGTTTCCAAATGAACACCCCCACACAAAAGATCTAAATGTCAAACCTTCAAAATAAAAGGAACATGTGACAGTTAAACACGACACCTTTTCAAGGTAAAAGAAAATTAGAGTGAATTTATATTCTGTAAACCTGACAAGCAATAAAGATTCAAACAAGGTTTATAGACAACTTGATTCAAACTGTCAAAAAACAAAAAACAAAACAAAACAAAACAAAACAAAAAAAGCACCATTTACATGCTCTGACTCAAATATTAAAAACAAGAGTGTAGAAAAGTGGTCTGAGTTGCTGCTGGGTTTAAAAAGCACAAAGGTTTAAAGACTTTAGGAAACCAAATGTCATTATTAATCCTTTTCCAGATCCAGTAATTATACATTTTAACAAACATTTTTATTTTATTCAAGTCTAATATGTTGAACAATAACCCTGAGGTATTGGAACAGCAGAACCACATTATTAGCATTCATTTTTAAACAACGCATTGCTTTCTTTAAACACAAAACATATTTAATTAAAAACAGTTAAGACTTTGCTAAAGTTYAATACAGTATTTGATAGTTTGGAAAGAAATTATTCGATCACTTCAATGTTGTATTTCTTTTTGCAAAAGCTTAAATTTATGTCAGAAAATATTGAAAGTTAGTCATTTGTGTGCACGTCATCTTATTAGAGAACACAAACATTTAGTTTTTCCTGCTGGAGGATTTACTCGTAATGAGCCGGACACCTCATGAAGGTTCAGATGGATCGTTGAACATTTGACACCAGAATTTGTTCAGCCTTTTAAACAAATGCTACTTTGATTTTTGCATGTAAAGTCATCAGACTTTACATAAAGAGGGTAAATATGTTCCGGAATTTAATCCCTGAGACTGTCTGAGGCACTATGCAGATCCAGTAAAAAGACATTTACAACAGTTTTATTTTTATATTTTCTGTTGGTAGAATGTAAAACACAGTCATTAGTTATTTGTAGTACAAAAGACACACAGAAAGAAAAAAAAAAGTTGAGCCCTACAAAAATGTTTACTAAATCTAAGGGTCAAATCTTAACTGCTTGTCAGGATTTCTTGTCTTGTCTGGCATACACTGGAACCATTTGGCAACACGGGCCTGCTTCTTTGGAAGAAGATCCTCATCCATACGAGCTTCTTCCTCTTGGACTTGACTTATGTACAGCTGGCTGACGATCACGCCAAAGAACTAAACAGACGGAGAGAAAAATACTGGGTGTCACCAAGTGAGGATTAATATATGAATTAGTTAGATTTGATCAGTGGTTCTGTTCTGCAGATCTAAACAGCTTTGTGATCGCACACTTATTTTCAGATTAAGAGAGATGTTCTTTCAGAAAACCAAAATAAACCTCAAGTACTTCTCTGTATGTTCCCTTATAAGAAACTTTTACAACCACCTGAACATGTTTACAAAAATGCAGGTAAATAATAAATAATGAAGGTTCTTATTTCAAATTGACAAAAGTAATAATAAATTAAAATGAACTCCTCGTGGGCAGACTGCTCCAGTTGTCCCATGTTTGAAGAGTGACTTCCAAGTCGGGGTCTCTGCAGTATATACTGTACCTGGAGTTTCTTAGCGTGTGGGTGGAGTTTGTCTTGTCTTGTGGGGCAAGTTAAAGGCACAGTGTGTAGGATTTGTTGCTTTCAGCGACTTCTAGTGGTTGAGTGGTTGAATCATCCTCCCTGGTCCTCCCCCCACCCCCACCCCCCGCTTCCAAATGCAAAGGAGTTGCTACGGTGTCTCTCAGGTGTCAAAAACCTTTGATAATTCAAACCGCGACGTCTACCAGCAGCTTCAGGG